ATCGACGAAGTACACTGCTGAGGGGAGCAGTGGGCGGGTCAGGAGAGGTCTGCCTCGCCATGTGGTCGCCTCCGGGGCAGGCAGGAATCGAACTCATGCTGAAGTGGCTTCAGCCTCTTAGTGCAGTGCTTTAACCCGCTGCGCCACCAGGGAGGGCCCCAAGTTATTGATATTTTTATTGGAATAGCATTAAATCTATACATCATTTTTGGTTAGGATGGCCATTTTAATGATGTTAGTTCTTCCAATCCATGAGCAAGGGGATGTCTTTCCATTTCTTTGTGTCTTCTTGTATTTCTCTTATCAGGGTTTTATAGTTTTCTTTGTATAGGTCCTTCACCTCTTTTGTTAGGTTTAATCCCAAGTATTTGAATTTTTTGTTTGTTTGTTTCTGTTTTAAAGGAGATGGGGTTTTTTTGTCAATTATATTTCAATAAAACTAGACATCTGATAATTATCTTAGTGGATATTGTAGAGAGGTTGGACACTCTCTACTGTACACAATTTCCAAGCTCCTACTGTACACACCTTCTTATCCTTTGCCTTGCCTAGCCACTGATTGGTACCGCCATCTGGTTCCCAGAGCCAAACTGTGAGGTCCAGTCATGCTTGCTCCTCAAGCCTGTGTCCAACTCTCAATCTCCTTCCCAACTCAGATTACCCATCCTGTGTGGAGCAGAACAGCCAAGGGGCAAGGAGCAAGGAGCAATGCCCTAAGCCCACCAGACAGCTTTCCATTTACACCTCCTATCTGGGCCTCTAGTCATTTGAGTTTGCAACCTATGCATTAGCCCTGCCTCAATGTCTCCAAGATGCCATTTCTGACCTCTCTCGACACCAGCCATACAGATAGTGACCTCCTTCTCTGAGTGCCCTTGAGTGCATGTACCTGACCATATTTGTCCAACTCTAACTTACCATTATTTTTGAGTTTCCATATATCACGGATTACGTTACCTGAGAAATCTAATTCAGAAGACTAAATAGGCTTTGCCCACAGGAAGTTGATGAGAAAGTGCTCTCAGAATCAAAACTTACAGCAGGGGGAAGGAGTTCAGGAAGAAAAATTTTGCACAGAGAGAGGCTGTCTGTGAGTACTTCTAATTCTACAGAGGTGGCCCTTTGGGGTTAAAATGATGCAAATACACTGGTCCTTGATACTCTGATCAGCCATCAGGGAGAAAATGATTTGGGCAGAGTGCTTTCCTCATCACTGAGGGGGACACAGCTGGGAACTGTGATCTGCAGATTCTCTCAGCAGCTATGGGATGAAGAGTCTGTATCTTCTCTGAAATCCCAGAGGCCCAACCTGTCTTCCTTGTTGCCCACACCTAGTATGGACATGATAGAACTGCATATTGACATGATTATCTCTAGTCAGAGAATTCCTTTATTTTTAACAGGAAACTACTATTTCTCCTCCAATCAACTTACAGTTGGTTAGTCCAGGTTCTCTGGTCCCAGAGTTTATATCTACAGTTTATATCTACAGGTACTAGTTGCAACCTAACCCTACCCTTCACCACAAAATCACCTCCCCAGGAGCTTTCTAAGAGCCCCAGTCACCTCCTTGTTCCTCAGACTATAGATGAGTGGGTTGAGCATGGGGGTGATCATGGTATAGAAGGCTGAGACCACTTTGTCCTGCTTGGAGGAGTGGTAGGCCTGGGGCCGCATATAGGTGATCATGGCAGCCCCATAGAAGAGGGAGACCACAGCCATGTGGGAGGAGCAGGTAGCAAAGGCCTTTTGCCTGCCTTCAGCAGAACGCATGTGGAGCACAACCACCAGGATCTTCAGGTAGGAGGCGGAGATGACAGAGAAGGGTAGGAGCAGCATGAGGACACAGCAGACATAGATCATGGTCTCATAGAGGGAGGTATCAGCACAGGCCAGCTTGAGCACAGCAGGAACCTCACAGAAGAAGTGGTCGATCTCCTGGGAGCCACAATAGGGGAAGCGCAGGGTGAAGACTGCCTGGATCAGCCCATCCACCAAGCCAAACAGCCAGGACCCTGCCACCATGAGCCAGCAGACATGGCGACTCATGACCACTGAGTATCTCAGGGGGTTGCTAATGGCCACGTAACGGTCATAGGCCATGAAGGCCAGCAAGAAGCACTCATCTCCCAAGAGGGTGAGAAAAAAGAGGATCTGGAGCCCACAGCCAGTGAAGGAGATGGAACCACTGCCCAGGAGGAAGTCAACAGCCATCCGTGGCACAATGGTGGAGATGAGCATGAGATCCATGAGGGACAGCCAGCTGAGGAAGAAGTACATAGGACTGTGCAGGCGTGAGTCCACATTGATAATGAGGATCATGAGCCCATTGCCAGAGAGGGCCACCAGAAACATCACCATGATGATGGAGAAGAGGAAGAAGTGCAGTGGTGAGTGCGTGAAGAGGCCCAGGAGGATAAAGTGGGAGATGAGCGTCTGGTTTCCCAGCCAGGCCATTGTTCCTGCTGAAGGATGCACTGGAGGGAGGCTTAGGATCTGGAAGCAGGAGGTTTATGGTTAGTGTCTCAATATGCAAGTACTACAACTTTGCCCAATGTGTCGCTCTCTTTAAATGTTACTTGGCTTAAATAAAAGTCCTGACTTCTTTATGAAAAAAAAAATCTCTAAATGCAGGCTGTGGTTGGTTTAACTGCCAGGATTTCCTGCATCGAGTTGAGAAGCAAATTTTAAGATGCTTATTGCTAAAGTAGGCACTGCTTCTGTCTCTGCTAAAAATTGGTCTGCTTTCCTGTCCTCACACTTGATTATCCTGCAAAGCTCTAGGCTAACTGCATTACTCAAGGTTTTGCTTTAAGTACCTTGGCTTTCTTGGGTCTGCAAGTTGGTTACCAGCTCCCCATCTATTATCCTGCCTGAAATGAAATGACACCTAGACAAAGTGGTTAGATGTGGATTTGTTTATAACAGAAAAATTTTGCAAACAATCTATCCATAATAGAGGAAAAATTGAGTAAGCAAGAGAATAATATGCAAATAACAAACAGAATAAGGTTGATTTTATGCATTGACACAGAATTCTCTCCAAATTATATTCTCCAAGCATTATTTACAATAGATAAAATATGGAAACAACCAAAATGCCCAAAAATAGATGACTGGATCAAGAAGACACACACACACACACACACACACGTATATGTATATATACGTATGTATATGTATATATGTGTGTATATGTGTGTGTGTGTGTGTGTGTGTATAAATGATCCAGTGGAATACTATTCTTTAATCAAAAAAGATAAACTCATGCCATTTGGAGCTACATGGACAGAACTGGAAGGAATTATGCTCAGTGAAATAAGCCACCCCCCCCCAAAAAAAAGATATCTGATGATTTCACTTACAGGAGGAATGTGGGGGGATCAGGAAATAAATTAACAGGCAACTATTCATCAGAAACACTCTGCAGGGGGAGGGAAGGGAAGAAGGATCAAAACAGGGGAGGGAAAAACACACTATGGTGTGTTGGGACTATGGTAATGGTGCATAGGTGAATTTGGTGGGAATTTTACAGGGACTACACCTGAGAGAAGAATGCAACATTGTACAAAAAGGAAGGATGATGTAAAATATACATAAAATAAAATAAATTATAAGAAAAATTATGTGTATATGTAAAATATACATAAAATAAAATAAATTATAAGAAAAATTATGTGTATATGTAAAATATACATAAAATTACAAAAAAACACTGTTCAGAGCAACACATATTGTATAATTAATACACACATGTTATATCACATATTATATAATTATGTGCCATAATTGTTATATATTGTTACACAAGTAACTGCTATGTAAATTAACATACTGTTATACAGATAACAGATTATATATACATATACTACATTTTATCATGTCATGTAACATTATTTATGTATTTAAATCTATGTGTGTGTATATATGTATATACATATATCTACAAATCAAATCTCTGGAATGAAACATAAGGAAACAATAAAAGTGTTTGCTTCAGAGGAAAGAATCAAAAGAACTGTGAGAATTGCTGAGATATAGAATTGAAAAACAGTCTTGAAGGAATACAAATTATGCCTCTTGAATTTTATTCTTTGTGAGACTATAATATAGTCTAAATAAATATATAAATACAACTTTGTAATGATGTCCAATAGGATTTGTCAAGAAATGGATAAAGTGAGAACAAACTTGCTATATACATAGCTAATAAATACTGGCTGAACAAATAGCCAAATAATTTTGTAAAAGTAAAATAGTGTGCAACAGGCCAGAGTAAAGAGTCAAATTGTCTGATCAGTTATCAAAATATAAAGAGTCTGATAAGGTGAAGGAATAAGCAAATTAACCAACAGAACAGAATAAATCCCATCAGACCCATGTATGTGTGTGAAAATTGGCAATCTGATTTAAATAGTAGAATTTAAAATATTGAATTTGAAACAATTACTAATTTATTTTGTTAAAAATGAAAATTATATCCACACCTCACACTAAACAAAAATAAATTCCTAGCAGGTTAAAGGACAAAATGTAGAAAATAACATTATTAGAAAAAATATAGGCAAATGTGCTCATGTCCTTTGAAATAGATTGTTCTCATTAAACAAAGCATAAATAATGATATATATATATAAATCACATGCAATGATACTAAATCATATACAATACTAAATATTTACAGTATAAAATAACTTAAAATATATACTAGAAAATGATTCATATCCAGGCTATATAAAGAGTAAAAGGGTATTCATAATCAATAAGAGAATGGTTCAAATGAGCAGTAATTTTCAGAAAAGAAAATTCAAATAAACATAAAAAACTGCTATAATTCACTAGTATCTAGAGAAATTTAAATTATCTCCTGGGAAGGGAAGGGATTCTCAATTTGCTCCCATGTGTTATGACTGTGCTGTATATGGCCAAGTAGCTTCAACAACAAAGAAAAATCCCCATAGCCCAGAGGTGACATTAAGAATAGTATCCATGTCACCTCTGGATTATGGGGACCTCTTTGTTGTCAGAGCTATCTGGCCACACACTCTGCAGCCATAGCACTCAAGCAAATTGAGGTTTTCATCCCAGGGAATGATGGTAACCTTCAGAGAGCGACAGCACAGGATGCAAGTATGAGAAAGAAGATGAGGGATTAGAATGAAGAGGAATGCAGAGAAACACTAACAGTAAAATAAGAGTGGAAGAGAGAGATAAAAAAAGGTTAATGTGAGGCCCTCCCTGGTGGCGCAGCGGGTTAAAGCACAGCACTAAGAAGCTAAAGCCACTTCCGCATGAGTTCGATTCCCGCCTGCCCCGGAGGTGACCACATGGCGCGGCAGACCTCTCCTGACCCGCCCGCTGCTCCCCTCAGCAGTGTACTTCGTCGATCTGCCTGTTCTGCTCCCCACTCTGTCTCTGGTGAAGCCTCTCACCCTCCGCATCTCTGGCCTGTACCCCAGTTCTGTACAAATAAATAAATAAATCTTTAAAAAAAAAAAAAAGAGCAAGAACATTAAAAAAAAAAAAAGGTTAATGTGAAAATGCCAAGGATAAAGGAAACAAGAGAAAGAAATGTGATAAAATGGGGGGGAAATCTTTTTTAAAGTTTTAAAGGGAAGCCCTACCTGTAGTGCAGCAGGTTAAAGCACAGCACTGAGAAGCGAAACCACTTCAGCATGAGTTCGATCTCCAGCCCCCCACCTCACCACCTCACCCCACCCCGGGGGTGACCCACATGGCACAGCAGACCTCTCCTGACCCGCCCTCTGCTCCCTCAGCAGTGTACTTCCTCAGTCGGCCTGTTCTGCTCCCCACTATGTCTCTGGTGAATCCTCTCACCGCCCTTGCATTTCTGGCCTGTACCCCAGTTTGTATACATACATAAATAAATCTTTAAAAAATATAAAGTTTTAAAGGGAAGAGATGAAAATGCCAGAAAAGCTACTTCCCCCGCAAGTAAGAAAAACAAAGACACAATGCAATATAAAGGGCAGAGAATGTTGATACGGTGAAAGAGAAAAAAAGTAGATGCAAGAGAGAAGAATCAGGAGAAAGAGAACCTCACAGTTTGGACAAAAGACAGACACAGGAGGGGCACCTGAGTGAGATGAGAAGCCAGAGGGACACAGACCTGTACTTAATAACACCATAATTCCCTGTCTGACTCTGGGGCTCTGGGGGGCTGTGAGAGCCCAGTGTCTCTGACTCTCCCCACTCTGTCGGGAAGGGCTATGGAGTGACTACATGGCTTTAATACCTTTCTAGCTTTCTTGGGCAGTCCTGCCTTCCTCAGGGTCTTCTTATAGCTGCACCAGCCCTCAGATGCTTCTGATGTGAACAGAGACAGTGGTTATAGCTTAAAACTCCCAGCTTTCTTTCCCATCATTGGAACAAATTTTGCCCGTGTTCAAGAGCATGACCTCTTCCAGGTGATCAAGACTCCATGTAGTTACAAGGTCAAACTTAGTTTGTACAGACAGTCCAGCTGCCCAACCAGTCTCAGCCTTTCTCTCTACCGTAACATGCCAGAGTCCACTCACATCCCACCAACCACATACTGTGTCTGCATTCACAACATTCCACCTGTCTAAGCCATCTTCCTGAATCATTCATTCAACAGATATTCAATGAGCACCTACTGCATGCTAGATACTAGGCCAAATGCTAGAAATTTAGTCAGAAGAAATTTGCATCTGAGTTGGTAATAGAGTTTATTACCATCTTCACCTGGAGGTTGAAAATCTAATTGATTCTCCTCTCATAACCCTGGGGGAAAAAAGTCTTCAAGTCCCTCCCTCTAGGTGACCTTACCTCTTTCTTCTGTCACTTCAGGTCTAAAATCACTAAGTTGTTGATTTATTATGTATTGCTTACTAATCACAGAACACCAAAGGTTCCTAACATGAATCTTAAAGATTGTATGTAAAATCTGGTGCTTAGGGCCCTCCCTGGTGGCGCAGCCGGTTAAAGCACTGCACTAAGAAGCTGAAACCACTTCCGCATGAGTTCGATTCCCGTCTGCCCTGGAGGTGACCACATGGCGTGGCAGACCTCTCCTG